AACGACGAACGAACATTCGTTTGTGTCCGACTCGTTAACTTAGCAAACAAGCCGAACACGAGCTATTCGCGAACAACGACCCGTTTTGACAGCCCTATTTTAGATCACTTTTAAATTTTTTTTTTTTTTCAGTTCCAAGTTTGTTTTATTTTTATTTTAACAAAAATAAAAATATATTCGGCAACGCTTGTGATTTTTCTATTTTAAAAAAAAAGACAAAAACAAGAAAATATAATTATTCTCTTCGCCTCCTCCTCCTCTTCCTTCGCCGCCGTTCCCGCGACTTCCTCACTGCCGTCAAACCCATCACCGGAGGAGAAAACGACGACTCCTGCTCCGACCACGGTGAGGCCACAGCCTACCTCCTCCGCCACGTTAAGAATTTTCTATCACCTGCATACACCGGATAGGAATTCTTAACATTAGGGTTCTCGTCGCCGGCGATCTCGGAGTCTTCACAGGATGAAGCAAGGAGTGGAATCAATGAGGTGTTTGAGCTTCTCAGCAGATGAACTGAGCTACGATCGCGTAAGCGACAATGGTGGGAGAGATGACATCGAAGGGCATTGACATCGGAGTCTTAGAAAATTGGGAGAGTTATTGATTGGGGGTGTTATTGAGTGAGTTAATGCAGAGATTATTGAAATGAAATCGAAGAAGTTATTGAAGTTATTGGAGTGGAATCTCAGAAGTTATTGAAGAGTTATTAGGGGCCTATTGTGATATTATTGGAGTTAATGTCAAAATAACACCTCAATAATCCTCTAATAACCCTCCCAAATAATCTCTGCATTTCCACTCCTATGACCTTCGCAGCTCCATTTTAAATTTTTTTTTAGGGTGGCCTCGATATGATACACACGATAGTATATTATTGGAGTCCGCACGTAGAGCTGCGTACGTACTCCGTGAAAAAATTTCTCTCGACAATGAAGGCATCAACATTGGCATCTACATCGTTGACATTGAAGATTTTATTTATTTAAAAAAAAAAAAACTTATAAAAAAAACCTCACTAAACCAACATATTTAAAAAAAATAAAAAAATTAAATTTAAAATTCAACACAAACAATTTATAACGTTAATTCGGTGGATATATAAACAATTTATAACCAAATAAATATATAAACAAATTCATTACTTCATGAATATAGTAATAAAATATCAATGAACACATAACAATATACTTGTGGGGTTGATACAATGAAAAATCCGTATTTAGAGCTGTGTCCGGACAACGAACGTGATCCACAGATCGCGCACGAGATGCATTGGAGGAAAATTTAAAAAAAAAAATCTCGTGTGTGATCCGTGCATCGCGTCCGTTATCCGAACGTAATATTTTCTGATACAACGTCTTAGATATCTCATTAGTTTTTTCACCTCACAATATATTTGCAAAACAAAACACTCCATAAAGATGAAACAAACTTAAATGTGAATTTATAAATTAGAGGTATGGTCAAAGCTGCTTCCATTTAAGATAACACAATATATAATGCAATTATATTCATTTTATTGTTCCAAACATTTTTTTCAACCATTATTTCTATCTAGAGGATTGAAGCCATTGCAAACGAAATTGTCCAATTGTGGCAAAGAGGTAGAACCTAAGAAAGAGAGGGATTTATCCTCATAGGAGAGAAGGGGTGTTCCTGAGCTCTTCGATCTTTTCTATTCCACCAAAAAGGTGACTACAAAAGAGAAGAAGGGGAGGGAGTTCTAGCATTGAGAGAGGAGAGCTCAAGAGCATCTAATACATGTCATAATTTTTCTATTTATAGAAGATAAAAAAGGCAAAAATATAATGTTATATTTTTACCCTTGTTTTAAGGAGGATGGTACATATTATTTTAGTTTCTTTATTTGGACAGTCGGAATGTCTCGAGATTCGTGTATATCATTTTTTGGTGTACATATTAAGTTTCTCAATTTTCTTGTTCTTTCATAGCAACAACTGCTAAAAGAACAGAGAAATTTATAAAGTAAAAAAACATGAGTGCATGAATCACTAATGATGCTCCTCGTTAGGTGCTTTTTGAGCTTTGTTCTAGCATCTTTTGTGTCGTTCACTGTTAATTGATTTGTCGCTGAGTGATCCTGGGATAATTTGCTCATTACCCCTCGAGAAATTTGTTGTTGTCGGGTAGTGGATCATCTTCGATGATGAACACAATTCAAATGTATGAGTAGAGGGATCGACCGAACGTTCTTAGCGTCTCAACTGACCACTTTTATTTGGTTGGGTGGCTTAGGGGATCAGTCAAATTTATTTGGCTGAATTGGTTGTGGGATTGGCCAAACAATCTTTGGTGTCTTAGCCGACCACTTTTATTTGGCTGAGTGGCCTAGAGGATTAATCGAATGATCTTGACGTCTCGATCGACTGCTTTTATCTAACCGGGTGTCTTATGCTGCAACTGATATATATGATATATATCTGGATCGTTGAAGTTGGGTTTTAACCCTTCACTCATGTGGGTCATGGTGGCTCGATCGGGCCTCCGTCTTAGGTCGGGTCCCCTCTCTATGAGAGAAAGTTGCCTAAACTCCCCTCTTAGATGATTGCCACTATATCTTTTGTGGAGCTTGTCGTTAACCGGAAGAGAACCATTTCCAAATTTAAGCTACGGAACTTAAGCTCGTGGTGAGGAAAGTTCCCTGACCGTCCTTTATTACCAATCAGACGTCTATGACATCATTGTCAGATGTTTTTACTCAGATCCAAGTTCCACGAGTACTAGCTTATACAAAATTTCAAAAACTAATGTCTTAAGTTCCTGCACATCAAGAGTAATTGTTAAATTTATTTAAACTACCAAAATTATTAAGGTGCAATCCAGTTACTTTTTCAGGATCAACATGAAGATTTTTTAGCTCCTTAATGAAGAGGATTACCACATAGACATGATTTGGTAGATGGCGAGAGTTAGGAGGACCTGCATATTTATATATTTTTATATGAATACATAAGATATGAGTAGTATATATGTAAGCGAAAAACATGTATAAAGAAGGGCTGGAAGAATATTTCCAAATGTTTATATGTAAGATATCTAAATTTCATGTTGTGAAATTTTACACAATTGAAATTAATACTTTGTATTAGTTTCATTTGTGTCTTAAAATGTCCATGTTAGATGTATATATTTAATGCAATGGGATATTATGCATATGAGATTGCATTTCTAATGTTAATTTCAGGCATGCATCCTAATATGCCCATTGTTAATCATACCCCTTAACAATGGCACTTCATGCCTTGTTTTATTACATATATGAGGTTTAATCTTTAATGTCAGCTTATTGTCACGGATAAAAAGTACCACATCGGCTAGGTGTAGAGCCGAAAAACAGTATTTAAGTCCTTGGCTGCCCACCACCCCTAAGAGCACTTTTGGGAGATGACAAGTGGTATCAGAGCAGATTACTGTCTGCCAGGTGTGTGGACTCTCCATGGTCCAGTGGGACCCTCAGTTGAGCTAATCTGTGACGAGGGCATCACGTGATTAGGTGGAGGAGAATGTCACAGACAAAAAGCTCCACATCAGCTAGGTGTAGGGTCGAAAAGCAATATTTAAGTCCTGGGCTGCCCACCACCCCTAAGAGCTCTTTTGGGAGGTGACATTATGCATACCCCGACATACCTACACAACAAGCATATACCTAAGATATGTAGCATCTCATATTATGTAATTTTATGAATTTGATATCTCATTTCAAATGTTGGTTTGTCGATTCATATCTACCATGTCATCCCTTTTCTAGGGAACCTACATATCATTTGCATCAATTGTTGGTTTAGGTTTATAGTGTCAGCACATCAATGACAAGACTTGTTTACATATGAGGCTTATTTTGTGGCCATAATATATCAACAAATATGATTATTTTAAAAATGGTGTAGTTAGAAATTTTTGCATGTATGACCATGTTTGGCCATGTAATTTATGATTACTTTGTGGTTATGTTTAATAAGTTTGAGAATGCACATTAGTATAGAATTATATGTGATTTTCTATAGGGAGTCATGCCCATAATTATTTGGGATCACACACTCACTTAAGCTTTTAGAACAAAATTATTTTTTTTATAAAGTTTAATGCATTGTTCAACTAAAATACAAAATTTATGCTCAACTCACCAATTTTTCATAAAAAGAATTTCCTTTCCTGCATGACCTATAACCAGATTTGCAAAACTAAAAACATTTAAAATATTAAATTTTATAATTCCTATCGTGACCATAAGATTATGGGTCACACTTTGTGCTTCATGTACTAGTTACAATAGAGAGGTTTGCCTAGCATGAGCTAAAGCTAGATAATGTTCATATCATAGCTCAATCCATGCATGTTAATAGAGCTTCAAACTCATGGAATATATAATTTTACAACATATCATTTTCCTTGGAAAGTGTAAGCACTTCCTCCACCTAACTGTTAGGCAGTCGTCTAGAACGCTTAGACTGTTAAAGACCATCATAACCCAAAGAGAATTGCAAGTATTTATTGAGTAGTTTTGATTCTTGAAATTAGACTAATTTTCCTTCACTTTTTTCCATAAGCTCTATAATATGTTTCCATGGGGATACTTCATATCCTTATATATTTTGTTTTATGATGTCGTATGATTCTAGATTAGTCAATTTATATGGCTTGGAATCAATATAAACTTCTTGGTTGATGCAATTCAAGGAGTGTTGACAGAGATTTTAAGACTACATTAAAGCGACTACTTTTGTAGCTTAAGTATATTCATAGTTTGATAACCTAGGATAATGAATTCATGGCATCTTAATCACTTATGTGAATTTATCTTAAAATTTCTTACCTATTCTAAAAATTATTTTACGTGCTTTTATCTCTGTTGGTTTATTAGTTAATATCATTTTGTAGCCCTCCACTTGTTGATAGGTCGTTGCCCTTAGGATACGATGATACACCATCGCCCATGTGGCCTAGTTAGGCTGTAAAGCAAAGAGTAACCTTTATTGAAAAGATAATTTTTTATCCGTTAATACATCCTACCAAAAAGAAATAAACCACAAATGATTTTTTTTAATCAAGAGTTTTCTAGAGCATCTCCAAAAATATAATTAATTAAAAAGAATATAGTCATTAGAGAGTGATATCATACCCATAATTAAAATATATTTTTGATTCTTCGATTATATGGGAAACATATGTATAGGACTTCCTAACCCAGAGAGAATTGCAAGTATTTGTTGAGTAGTTTTGATTCTTATAATTAGATTAATTTTCCTTCACTTTCTTCCATAAGCTCTATAATTTGTTTCTATGTGGGTACTTCATATCCTTATATATTTTGTTTTCTGATGTCGTATGATTCTAGATTAGTCAATTTATATGGCTTGGAATCAATATAATCTTCTTGATTGATGCAATTCAAGGAGTGTTGACAGAGATTTCAAGACTACATTAAAGCGACAACTTTTGTAGCTTAAGTATATTCATAGTTTTGATAACCTAGGATAATGAATCCATGGCATCTTAATCACTTATGTGAATTTATCTTAAAATTTCTTACTTATTCTAAAAATCATTTTACGTGCTTTTATCTCTGTTGGTTTATTAGTTAATATCATTTTGTAGCCCTCCACTTGTTGATAGGTCGTTGCCCTTAGGATACGATGATACACCATCGCCCATGTGGCCTAGTTAGGCTGTAAAGCAAAGAGTAACCTTTATTGAAAAGATAATTTTTTATCCGTTAATACATCCTACCAAAAAGAAATAAACCACAAATGATTTTTTTTAATCAAGAGTTTTCTAGAGCATCTCCAAAAATATAATTAATTAAAAAGAATATAGTCATTAGAGAGTGATATCATACCCATAATAAAAATATATTTTTGATTCTTCGATTATATGGGAAACATATGTATAGGACTTCTTCGAAATTAATGCGGTCCGAGTCAATCCAATCTCTTCCCATACTTATGCCTCCAAATCATTTATGAAGACCATTTTGTGAATACTTCTCTACCTTTCATTTTAATGTAATCATGATCTCTCTTCACTTTCCTAGCTCACTCTTCTTTAATTCTGAGTGAAGAGATTTATTAAGGGAAAAAATATAGAATGATCACATGAATATAACAAATATGATGAAAACATCCAAAAAAAATTAATATTCCTCATGATTATTTTAGGTAAGATCCTATTTATCTTATTTTGAGGTATAATTTCTCTATCAGCTTCAAAAAATGTGATTCAGATGACCAACAATGGGTGCCTATATTTTGTGATTGAGCTCACCTCATATGGCCTCATTCATTTTAGGCTACCCTAAAGAACTAATGTAACTACTAAGATAGCATGCACAAATCCGACAAATACAATTACAACTAGTTCTTTACCAAGTCTCTAGTTTGAGGGGCCGAGATAATCTATTTCAATTTTATAGCTCTAAATGATTCGTCTATTATATTTTTAAGGTGATGAGAACCCTCGGTGTCATGGCCATAATCGCTACGAAAGACAATGCTTTGCCAAGTCCCTCAAAAGGAGATGGGTAAACTTCCATCAATCGTGGACAGCTCAAGAATTCATTGTTCTGCACAAAGGTGATGAACATGTGGTGGTGGCGATGTCATCTCTATCCTCTTATAATCACTGCATCTTTCAAAGTGCATCCACCATGGCTATCCATGGGTTTGTTTTGATTGGTAAGGGTATTGCATGGGCTAAAAATGGGTTCACTCCAAACCGTGAGAGTTTAAGATGATTGTGTTGTCAAGAAAGTGGCCTTGAGTATCTCATCCATGCTTGTCTCTAAGGGAGGTGAAAGGGAGATGACTATGCTTTAGTTATATTCTTCCACATTTACTTGAGTATTAGTGAGCTCCAATGACTCCATTGATACTGAATTGCCCTAGAGGTTGTTAAAATCAATCATTTCCTTCTTAAAATGTAATAACAAAGCCTATGAATGACTTTTGGTGCATTCTTAATAAAGCTTGTGAGTTTTTATGGGGACGTTGCGCGTAGACAAATTGATTTAGAAAGGATTTCTTAAATTCGACAAAAATTACGCGATCATCTCAAGTGGAAGGAAGAAAAATTATGTAAAGGCTTAACTCTTTGAAGGTCTTAAAGAACAACCAACATTTCAACGTGTTATTTGCAACCAACAATGAGACGCTCGACTCGATTTAACAAGGTTGGCCCCAAAAATCCAACTTTGGCAGGACTAATCAAGCTCGACTTTATAAGATATTCTCCAAGTCTCAACTGATGTCATGCCAAGAATCTACTGGGATGAGTCCCCCATTAGGATAACAATATAAATCCCAAAAAAATCACATGAATCTAGAAAAAGAAATGTTCAAATTAATACAAAATCTGTATCTCATAAATGTCTCAAAAGTTATCCTCAAATGCTTTATCCTAATCACAGCGAAAGTCAATATATTGTCAAAGTACAAGGCAGAAACTTTCTGACATAAAGGTTCAAGATGGTATTCATTAATCTCATAAATGTCTTGATTCCAAAAAGAAACTAAAATAGGATAGATGCAAAAAGCTCCAATTCTGATCCACCACATTAAAAGGACAGAAGTATTGTGGCTGAAGCCTCTAAAAAGCCCATGATAAATATGATATCATACACTAAGGTTCTGTTGACGTTATGGTTGACACATTTGGTCATGATAGAACACATGAGTGAGATACAAAAAAAATCAGTGAAAAAATATTGCGTCCGGAGTCCGGAGGTAGAGCTGCTTCCGGATAACGGAAGTGATACAACAAGGCGAAGTGGGAGCCAGGACCTCTATTGTATCATGTCCGTTGTCTGGACGCAGCTCGCTATTTTCTCCATTGAAACAGAGCAAAATCAAGCAAGGTTGAGAATTTCTGAACAGCCTGTATTCTTTTACATATTTCACTAGACCTTCCCTTGAATGAGTAGTTCGTTGCCTTCTAAAAAATGGACACAATATTCCGACTCAATAACACCTATTAGGGCCTAAGAATGAAACAAACGCAATGATAATGTTGTTCACATAAACACTAAATATTTCTTTTCGGAAGATTCTAACAGGCTATATTGCGATGACACTAAATGCAAATAACTTACCATGGGATGAAAATTATTCCAGGAAACATAAAAGTTTTTGAAGCATAAAAAGATTTTCTAAGCTGAATTAGCACAAAAACTTTTGCAAGCACCAATGGAATCGCACATTTAGGCAAAGCAATGATGTTCAATGACAACAACAGTTTCCCGAACTTCATTAGACATAAAATAAATAATCTATCGGATTTTATAACAATTTTCTCAAAGAGTGAGTCACTGGTGTTGCTTGAAGACCATTTTGCAGTCACTAGAAGCAGCTATGAACGACTCGAAGCATTCTTGTGCTTACCTCTTACCAGATTTTGAACAAATAATTCACCCGCTCTGTAAGAGGACCGAACCTACATTCCATCAAATGAAAATGAATATAAGCAAAGTTCATATAGCAAAGCAAAGGTAGCAGAAAAAACTTGTCCTATCATTAACATGGCAACATATATAAAAGGAACATGGCAAAGTGGGGAAAAGTAGGCAAAAAAAGGGCAACAATTGCGCGTCAAAATACTGCGCTGCAGCCGTATTCGCTATGTTAACAAGCAATGGAATAATCTTAGGGAGCACCTCAAGAAGGATGTCAGGGTAGACAGACGCTTGTTTGAAATAAAAAGGCATTTGATACAAGCTACAAAAACTTTAAATTGTCTTATGAGAAATTGGCCCCTGGTGGTCATATTAAATGCTCTATAATTTATAACATTATTTTGATCCATTTCTCCTAAACCCCTGTGATTCTACACAAGAAGTATTCAAGCGTATGTGCTACAAAATGCTCATCAACTAGGCTACCTCTTTGATTCTGGGACTTGGAGAACTCCAGCAAAGATGATTATTCTGTAAAATTAAAAAAACTAGGCTCCCTCTAAGGCTGTATTTGGGACAGCATTTTGCTGGATTTTTAAACCGCATTCCCTCCCTAGCGTTAGTTGGCGTGTCCCGCGGATCTCGGTTTAAAACCAAGGACAAAATACTTTTCGCATCGGACCAGCCTCCCCGTCCCACGTTCGCCATAAAAAATGTGCAGCGGAAATAATTCATAGCGTTTGATTGGCGTGTCCCACGGATCTCAGTTTAAAATCAAGGCCAAAATACTTTTCGCATCGGACCAGCCTCCCCCTCACACGTTCGCCATAAAAAATGTGCAGCGGAAATAATTAAGATTGTCGCAGCTTAGAAGTAAAAATTGATAATGAATGAAGTTCTCATAGTCAGCTTTCAGAAATAATTATGCATAGCACTCAATTCTCATTTTTTTAATTGGAAAGTGTGCCCATGCATACAAACAACCAAATTTTTAATGATAAATTAATATATCTTAGAATAAATCAAAAATTAAAAATTAAACTGGGTGAAAATAAAAACCTTAAAAAAATCTTATTGAAAAAAATACTTCTAATTTTATTTAAAATGCTTTGATTTTATTCTTTGAATTTACATATAACACCTAAACATGCACATAAATTACACTCAAATTTCTAACATCATAAAGTGAAATAGGAGCAGAGAGGTATTTTAGATATTTATCCACAAGCAAATCATTTAAAAATGAATTATTCAAACAAAACAACTGCTTTTGAAAAACCAGCTTTAAAACAACAGATTTTCCACGACAACTTTTGAACTGAGATTTCATACAACCACAGCCGAAACAAATGCACTCTAAATCACTCCCAATTATCGCTATTTTTTTTTAGGAGGCCTATCTTGATATTCAACTATGTTGTAATCTTCTCTTCAAAATTTTCATTTATTTATTCAAATAAGAAACATTCGCCACTACTGTTGAAAATGAATTTCATATCATTTGAAAAAAAAATTGTGAAATATTGGATGTGATGTGCGAAAACACAAAACTCCAACCTTAAAAAAGTAACACTAATCGAAAAACAAATGCTCCATGAATCATGGTCCACATAAAAATGCATGATTTGTTTTATGTATTAACCACTAAATAAAGCATTCAATATTTTACGCAGTAGCAACTATGATCGTCAAACTGCAACTATTGGGAGTAAACAAATCTTAAGGAATTCATAGAGCAAAGAGATGATTTAAAATAATTTCATATTATGGCCTATATCCACCTTATAAGGAGAACGGAGAAAGGTTTCACTATACTAAATAGCTAAATAGAGAGTTTGTTATAGGCATTTAAGGATCAGTGAAAATTTTCGGTGACAAGTTATTGGGCCAACATTCTGCCATCCAAATAACTGTTCCAAAGTGTAGAGCATTGATGCATTCATTGACCCGATAGTACGGTAACTAATGTTGAATTCTTCTTATAAGTTCTTGGTTTATCATTATATTAAGTTGCACTAATCTTACAGTGATAAGACTAGCTGTCATAAATGGACATTTTGCTACAAATTTATATTATTTGGTTTAAAAAATGTCAATATAACTTATAGGTGGCTGGAAGTATAGATTGAAAATGTTATCGTCAAAAGGTCCAACTGAGCATCTTAAAGACCTCTCTGAGATGCCCCTAAGTACATGGAAAGCTACCAGGAAGATTAAAAAAAAATAATAATAAAACAAATTACATGGAACATACATATCTGGTAACACAAGATGAAGTTTGAGTTAGATGTAAAGCTACTAAATAATTTAACTCGGATAAAATCCTATACAGATGGTAATCCCAAGCATTAGTTTGAGATGCCAATAGTCAACCGAGGCTAACAAGATCCTTGAAGTACATCATAGAGAATGCTACAATCATTCAACATTCCAATTCCTGAAAACAGAGTCTTCAAACTAGATTACTTCATCCTGACCTTGGAGCATAATGCACAGTTATTTTGTAGTGAAAAAACTATCAAAATCTTCAGTATACCACTTCATTAAGTGAGTCAGTAGTATAAACTGATCGTGTACCTAGTTGCTCAGCATATAGGGGACGTATTTTGTTAACTAAATCAAAGTATTGTAACTGGCGAGGTAAGAATATATCTCAATGTATTGAATTACCAAAATTTATATCTTTCGAATCATTCAAAAAACGTTTTGTATATTAAATTTCTATGCCAGGTAAGAATATATCTAAGTCGTTCAAGAGAGCTAACGGTACCTAACACTTGTCAAGAGACCAAGTGGTGTGAAGATGCTAAAGGAAAAGCCATTATACTTGCTAAATCAACAAACCCAGGTTAGGCTCAACAAAGGCCATGCTGACCAGCAAGGAGGGCCTCATAAAAACGAAATGAGAATGATTATCTTTAATAAATATAATGAGAATTCAAGGAATTGATGCTGAATGCTTTGAAGGACTAAGGATGAAAAGCACATATAACTTCAATTAAAGAAGAAACCCACCTCATTCTTACCAAAGGAAGGGTAACACTAAACCTCATCAAAGAGAAAGACGAGACAAACTACCCACCAAGTTAATTTTGAAAACAAAAGTACTCTTAATTTGTACAAAATATGATGCTTTAAATCCTACAATTTCATGATCACTAATATATTTTACATCATGAAATATGAGAACAATCGTCGAAACATTAAAAGTCATATGAGTCCATATGAATCCATAATCATGAAAATTCGCATAGTTAAATGATATGAAATGAAATGAAATAAGCTGTTTAGCTTTTTCATTTTTATCTTTTTACATTAAATGTTTTACTGGAGAAGCTAGCCCGTATTCACTCCAAATCTTCAAGGAAAGCAACATCACAAACACTCCAAATATTCGACAATACCATCTCAAGACCCCTTCAATTTTTTAAGGAGAAGCTACCAAGACCCTATATATGCACTTAGCAATTACATTTTAAGTGATATATTTATTTTTCTTATTAGTTGTAATACTAACTTTTTTTTGTTTATGACACGCTTTTTTAGTTCATTGTTTCACTGTATAATTCCTTCTATATGTTTCTTTAACGTTCTAAGTTAGCAAGGATTCCTAAAGAATTTATACAGTAACCCTGTGATACCAAATTGAACCTCATAACCTCTTGGTGTGCCTTTAAGCATGCACTAATTTTCTCATCAAGACCAAGGGTTAGGATTTCGTTTCCAGTAAAATCAAAAGAGGATTGCAAATAGTAGTATAGACAAGATATTTGAAATAAACTAAGGAAAATTTTAAATGACTGTCCATAAGAGGTGTCCATGCCTGTGAGTTAACAAATATCAATTTGGTGCCTTAAATATCATACCTAAACATTTCTATTTTGAAAGGAATTCTCTTGATACTCTACAAAGCAACTATCTTCTAGCTAAGGTCAATCTTTCTTTCTCTAATTAATCCTTCGTTGCTATCACACAAAAAGTATTTTTCGTAGAAATTGAAAAAAAAAAATTTAGCAAAGAGATGTTCCTAAAATTCTAATCTTGAAATAAGTAATAGTGATCAAAGAAAAATGACCATATAAGTCATAAACAATGTTTTCAGAGATGGAGTCACGAGGTAGGCATTTAGCACATCAATGGGACGGCATAAGCTCTATAAATTTTATAATTTAAATATTTTATAAAAAGAGTCTGATTTAAATTCATAATAAGAAACTTGTTTTGAAATCAACTCTAAAATTCAATGTTCATATTCTAACTGAAAAACCTAATAATAACATAAATATTGGTCAGGAAATTAACAACTGAGTAACCTATTGAGAGAAATTCATATTACAGAAACATTCAAATATTAAAAAAAAAAACAAACATCCAAATTTCTAAGAACAAAGAAGCCCAAAGGATGCAATCCAGAAACAATTCTCAATTAAAATTATAATATAAAATTATGAGGATCTTTTATTTGATTGCAACTCCTTTGTTGAATGGATAGCCTCCTCTATATGATAATATCATGAAAATTGATTATAAAAAATATTGTAGTGATCTACAAGAATCAATCATAAGATAAAAGCTATCGCTAATGAAGTGCAAAAAGATTAACAAAGGAGGCTCAGAAATACTGTTCACTAGATCTCACACCAAAAGACCAAGAAAATTCAATTAAAAACAAGGCCTAGCCTACAAAGGCTCATTTTGTGATTTAATATTGATTCGTTTTATTTTTATTTTTATAAATAAACTGAAGGTTTTGAAACTTCGATTTTGAATTCAAGCATTTATGTATGGCATGAGAAGTGAGAGAACTTGCATTAAAAAATGAGGTTTATATTAAATGATGTTTCAATATTATACATTCAATTAGTGTCCACTCACCATATTCACTACATTTTCAAAATTTGAATTTTCTTAACCTATGGGGATGTTTGAAACAGGCTATTAATATCCCCCTTACGATAATGTAATGGGATTATTGTCATTTGAAAGAATTTGCGAGACCATTTACTTTGTTAATCTTCATTTACTGCTCCTTAGTAACTCTTTACATTTCCCTTACTCACCATATTCGCTACAATATTATCACTTTGGGTTTGAATTAGGTGGGCGACCATTTACTGCTCCTTAGTGAGAGAAGCTAATTACCCTAGTAACTCCTGTTCTTCACTTTTTCCTTTCAACATCATCATCCATCTTATATCCATCATTTTCACTTTCTAAAACATAGAAACCATCTTCCAAAGGCCTCAAAACACCTTAACTCCTACAAAAATTGAGTTATACCCCTTTCACAGAGTCATTACTCCGGTTTCCAAAAGAAATTCATAAATTCTATCCCACATATCCAATTGGACTAAACTTACATCCACTAATTAGCTAACAACCCAATATTTGGAGCTACTAAACATAACCCATTTCTACTAAAGATAAACTAGCAATCTATTATAAACAAAGTCTGAACAAAATCTGTCAAGAAATCTTGAAGTTAAATTTTTTGTTTTTTTTTTCACCTAACATCCCAATAAATCCCAATCCTCCCTTCTCGCCTCACTAAAAATTTCTTAAACATCAAGCACCTCAATAAATAAATTTTTTAATATTCCAATTTTATCCCACCACACACATCACCAAAGACTTGTGACATAAATATAATGCTAAAAAAGTTGCTAAATATCTTATAGATTTAATACTAAATACCTCATGGATTTAATACTTTTAATAGGTTTTGACAAGTACACCAAGAAGAATCAACAAAGATATAAAAACAACATCCACTAATTAGCTAACATCCCAATGTTTGGATATACCAAACCTCACCCATTTCTACTAAAGATAAACCAGCAATCTATTACAAACAAAGTTTGAACAAAATCTGTCAAGAAATCTTGAAGTCAAATTCTTTTTTTTTTTCACCAAACATCCCAATTAATCCTAATCTCCTCGCCTCACTATAAATTTCTTAAACATTAAACACCTCACTAAATAATTTTTAATATTCCAATTTTACCCCAGCACACATCACCAAAGACTTATGACATATAAATATAATGCTAAAAACACTATTAAATACCTTACAGATTTAATACTTTTAACAGGCTTTGACAAGTACACCAAGAAGAATCAACAAAGGCATAAAAACAACATCCACTAATTAGGTAACATCCAAATGTTTGGATCTACCAAACCTCAAGCATTTCTACAAAAGATAAACTAGCAATCTATTGCAAACAAAGTCTGAACAAAATCTGTCAGGAAATCTTGAAGTAATTTTTTTTTTTCCCACCAAACATCCGAATAAATCCTAATCCTAATCTCTTCTCGCCTCACTAAGAATTTCATAAACATGAAGCACCTTACTAAATAAAATTTTTAATATTCCAATTTTAACCCACCACATACATCACCAAAAACTTATGACATATAAATATAATGCTAAAAAAATTGCTAAATACCTTATAGATCTAATACTAAATACCTTATAAATTTAATACTTTTAATAGGCTTTGACAAGTAGACCAAGAAGAATCAACAAAGACATAAAAACGACATCCACTAATTAACTAACATCCCAATGTTTGGATCTACCAAACCTCACCCATTTCTACTAAAGATAAACTAGCAATCTATTACAAAGTTTGAATTAAACATGTCAAGAAATCTTGAAATCAAATTCTTTTTTTTTCCACCAAACATCCCAATTAATCCTAATATCTTCTCCCCTCGCTAAAAATTTCTTAAAAATTAAGCACCTCACTAAATAAAATTTTTAATATTCCAACTTTATCCCAACACACAACACCAAAGACTTACGACATATAAATATAATGCTAAAAATATTGTTAAATACCTTACAGATTTAATACTTTTAATAGGCTTTGACAAGTACACCAAGAAGAATCAACAAAGACATAAAAAAAAACATGCACAAATTAGCTAACATCCCAATGTTTGGATCTACCAAGCCTCACCCATTTCTACTAAAGATAAACTAGCAATCTATCACAAACAAAGTTTGAAGAAAATCTGTTAAGAAATCTTGAAGTCAATTTCTTATTTTTTTTCACCAAACATCCCAATTAATCCTAATCTCTTCTCACCTCACTAAAAGTTTCTTAAACATCAAGCACCTCACTAAATAAAAATTTTAGAAATTCCAATTTTACCCCACCACACACATCACCCAAGACTTATGACATACAAAAATAATGCTAAAAAACATTGCTAAATACCTTATAGATTTAATACTTTTAATAGGCTTTGACAAGTACACCAAGAAGAATCAACAAAGACATAAAAAAAACTTCTTCGAAGAAAGAGATAACACAGTCATGCTAGTGTTGACCTCATTTCTAGTGAGGTCTTGGTCTTCTACTCTTAGAACCTAAGCAGATTGGCAAGCTAGCGGAGGCGAAGTAATTCTAACAAGTAAACAAGGAAAAAGAAGTCAATAAAGAAGTTTAACTAAGGGCTTGTCTGGGATCACTTTAATCTTTTTATTTTTATTTATTTATTTTTTTTTTTGTTTTAAAACTTGTTTCTTTAGTGCATTTTTTGTATGTTTTTATATTTTATTTTTAAAAATAAATTAGTTTGTTTATAAAAATAATCAAAACATCTAAAAATTATTTTGAGTGTTTTAAAAACAACTAAACAAGTTAAATGTTACCAAAGATGTTTTGTTTTAACTTTTACATCCAAACATATACAAAACAAAATAAAAATAAAAAAACAAAAATCAATAATCAAAAGTAATCACAAATAGTCAGAGAGTTGTTTGAGTTGTCTTAGCATTTCCTTTTCATTTCCATGAGCTATAATAAAAAATGTTCATGCAGTTGCTTAATAAAATAAGAGGACTAAATAGAAAGCACTTAGAATTTTCTAATTATGTAATCTAAAGTTCACTTAATTTATAAAATGCCTATTAGGTGTATCCCCACAAGACAAATGACCACAAGATTGTCCAGCGACAATTTTGGCATGCTCCGTGCAAGCTAAGAAAATGCATTTTAAAGAACTGGTTATGACACAAATACAAAAAAATCATGGTTAATTGTAAGTAATATTAGATGGATAAAATATTCGACGAGTTCACTCAATAGTGACAATTATGAGTTTATGTTCACTTTAGATTTCATTAGTTGGGTTGCTGTGGATCTGCATTCTCCCGTTTGGTGGAAATTCATCTTATGTCCATCAACAACACATTACACTCATGGCATTTTGCATCTCATATAACTCAACTCTTCTGTATGGATAAAATTTAATATGTATCATCATTCCTACAAAACAATCATGTCATTTTGCATCTCATATAACTTAATTCTTCTATATGGATAAGACTGAATATGTATCATCATTGCATTTCGGAGACATGTGGAACAGTTTTTTCAGAGATTCAAGTGGTCAGGAGGAAAATATGCATAATCAAACAGCTAGTAGACACAATATATTTCCATTCTACTAGGCTCTCTTTTTACAAGAATGAAACCTTGTCCTCACATTCAATAAGATAATTTTTACTCCTAAACGGTTCAAGACTTCGTGTAAAAGTATAATGACCAAAATAAGCATCAACAAACTGGAGTAAATAAAGCAACAAAAAGCCAACCAACACAGAAATTCTCTTTCAAGCAGAAAGTAAATCTCGGGAAAACTGGTGATGTAGTTCACTAATTTGTAAGCTGTATATAGATAAGGAAAAAAAAAGAACAAAAGAGAAAAAGCTGGTTTACCAGTGGTCCACTAGCAACATAACAGAAACCAATAGACTCTCCATAGTTTTTCCAGAAGGCAAACTTCTCAGGCGTCACATACTCTTTTACCGTGAGGTGTAAGGGGGTAGGCTGAATGATATTGCAAAAGTTAATACAAGAAACTGTAATTTTCATAGTATCATTGAAACAAAATATTTTGGTGATTAGCAAACCTGTAAATACTGGCCCAATGTCAGAATGTCAACACCGATAGTTCTCAAGTCGTCCATAGCTTCCTTTACTTCATCATCAGATTCTCCTAGACCGAGCATGATAGAAGACTTTGTAATCATCCCTTCTTTGCAAAGTTTCCCATGCTTTAGAACAGACAAACTCTGGTCATACCTGATATATATATCATCACCACCACCAATAGCCTAATGCCCATTATTTGGTTGGTTTTAAAAGTAAACAATAATAAGAGCAGAAGAATAAACACTCAAATGAAAAGAAATTTTGACCAGATAGCGAAAACTAGATAATGTTTCAAAACCAATACATTCAAAGTAATTTAACAAATGCACATACAGTCAAGTTAACTGAGCTGATTTGCTCAGGTGATCCTCTTCCCTGTTAATAGCTACAAAAATCTGCATGTAAAAATCCCCTAGTCTGATATTATTCATACAAAACATCACATTTGAGTGGGATATGTCCAAACCGTAGTAATTCAAAGAAAAGTGAAAAGGCCAAGAAATCAGATGAGATAGAGGAAGCAAATCCACTAAAATCAAGCTCAGATGATAAAGTTGAGCAGGGGGAAAAAAAGTAATAAAAAACTAAGCCCTCTGCTCTGGAAAAATTTCTTGATCGATTTATCTGAGAATTGATGAAGATTTTCAGTTATAAGGATAGGCGATACACCATACCTAAAAAAAATCACATTACATATAATATTGTGAATTGGTTCTGAAGTCATCTTAGGCTGTATCCACTATGTGAAGTAGTCGATTATCACAATTATAAATCTCGTTTGCCCCTTAGCAGTGGAAATGAGCCAAGTAGTTCCATTCCCCAGATAGTGAATGGGCAAGGACAAGCACCATTAATAATAATGTACAAAGTGGCTTTTCCTGGGTCTTTTATTTCTAGTACATGATGCCCACCTTCATAAACTCTAGAAGTGAATTCACCCAATTTGGTTCATCTGAAAGGCCGACTTCAATTAATTCCTCTTCTTAGATGATTAGTCAGGTAAGCTCAATAGTTGGTCATCATTCCCCGCCTTGGAAAGAAGGTCGGCCAGTTCATTCTGCTCCTTGGGGATCTACTCAAATTTGCAAAATTTAGGGGGCGTTTGGCTGCCTCATGGATTTAACGTAAGTAGGATTTACTATATCCGGTAAATCCGGATTTATTAAATCCAAATTTTATGTTCGGTATCAACTTTGTTTGATGTTTGGCATTTGTTTCAGGATTTAACAATTTTGTTGGAGTGGCATGCACAGGGCCCATCCAACGAAGCTAAATAATGTCTGCAGTATTGGGCAGAAGGAGTAGCATGCACAGTCAAAATATGCAGCTAAAAGTTCGTCTTCACAAAATTATCATGGAGCTGAATATGCTTTCATCCTTCTGCAAAATCTCAAATAAAATGACTTACAACTACATCAACATTTATAAAAAAAAATGAATAACTTTTACTGTAAATTACAACTGATGCAAAACTATGCTGATTAAACCTGACCACTTCTACCCTACTGACAGGTTACAATAGCTGCAGACAGCATGGGGAGCTTCCAACAGCATTTTAATGGCTGCTAGAATAAACTCTACAAGATCTCAAGATTTCTTGATATTATTGTCTTGGAGCATTTACATACATACCACCCAATTCCTATGTATAGCTTCCAACAGCATTTTAATGGCTGCTAGAATAAACTCTACAAGATCTCAAGATTTCTTGATATTATTGTCTTGGAGCATTTACATACATACCACCAATTCCTATGTATTCACAAATCAAAATTTTTTTACATTTATACCATCCAAATCTTTCATATCACATAAAAAAAACCATTATTGAAACTTTTAAAAGTGAAACACACCTTTCATGCAAAGGTAAGGTGATATGCATGTGAAAATTAATGTTTAGTTGTTAGATATATAAATATATAAGATTGGATGGTATTTAAGATTCTGCAAGGTTTAAATTTTTATTTATGCTAGTTAAAAAGATTTCAGTCAAGCACTTCTGAAATCTCGCAATAAGCTTGCAACCAAACAACTTCTTTCTATATTTGTGAGTTCTTTACTTGGTTCGGTGTGACAAGCTCATACCAACTTGTATCCTTGCAAAAGGCTTCCTCCTCAGCGTGTACAATCACAATTTGAAAGCGCTCACTTGATAAAGTTAAGAAAATGCAATGCATCAATTCCAAAGCTCATAGTCACTGTCATCATTGGTTTTTTTTTTCATCAAGTACTTCAAAATAGGACCCACTATCTGTATTTGTGAGATTCATGCATTTCTGGATAATGCATGATGAGGTTATCATGTTATTTATTTATTTTTTTATTAATTTGTGTTTTGAGTTCTTTTGATACGAGTTATTTTTGGTTTTGTCATGTTGGAATTATATGTAATTAAGCTCTTGATTGATTAATATGTCAGAAGAAATACACTCCATCCATGCTTGGTCAACCACTCTCTCTCCTCACCTTGAATCTTTTATTAACACTTTTCCTACACCATTTATTTCACTCTGTCTCCTACAACACCTTCCCTTGATATTTTTTTTCTTATTTTTTTCATGACTTATAGATTGCAAGCCAAACATCTGCTCTTTCATTTATACTTTCTTTTGTTCCACTCCTACCTATCCTTGACCTCTACCTATGTTTCATAAATCAAATTGATTAGATGTGAGGAAAATGAAAAAATAGAATTTAATGTCGTACATATAAAATTCAAACCATAGCAATCGCTATCGAAGCTAAATACATGACGCCCAACTGCATAATAGATTCTGTGGAAGCATCCAGAGCATCATGATCACTTAGAGTGGAATTTCCTATGATCGAATGGCGTAAGCACAATGAAAGCGATGCAATTCAAGCGCAACATTAAACATTCAAAGTGAATTTGTTTTGATCATTGCCAATCACTCAAATGACATCCACTCAAAAAATGGAACCTCGAATTTGCCTAGGAACCACACGCATATTGCATAGATCTCTACTCGCAAATTATCAATATATAATTTGAGGCAATGACCTTTAGGTAAACTACTTAAAAATCAAATTAACTCTCCCTATTTCTTCCCTTAGAAGCCACCGCCCAACTCCATCCTATTCCCAATCAATCCTAATTTGCCACTTTCATTCAAAAATAAACAAATCTAAATAAATATATATATATATATAATAAAAAATAAAAAAACTAATCTCAACACCATCAATTCTCACAGCTACCATTTGAGCCCTTCATCTTTTCCTTACACTCTCTCCCGCATAGTCAGATGAAAACCCTCCCCCTTGCTTTCGCCATCCCATCAGCTAGACCACTCCCCATTCCTGTATGGCAACTTCCGTCCCCATGCCACCCGCGACCCAGCTTTCTCTGCCTCCCCTTTGCCGCAACCTGAGCCAAGCCAAGGTAAAAATAGCTCCACTCACGCACTCTCTGCTGAACTCGCATAACACCTCAAGCAGCACCTCTCATTGACCTCCCCACTGCAACCTCTTCCTTTCTGTTCATAAAACCGAACTCTACTGCTGGCAAAGTCTCCCCATTCCGAGCAGCATGAGACCTCTCCTGCTCTTCCTAAGCAGTAAACTCTTGCATGTAACAAACATCAAACATACTCGCGCCCCCCCC